TATTTGAGGCTCTGTTAGTTGCATGTAAGTTCATAATTGCTTTCTTCCTGATAGGTTGATCCTTTTATCATTACAAAATGTCCCCCCTTCTCTCTAGTACTCTCTTTCTCTCTAGTTAATATCTAAAGTTTTAAAGTCTGTTTTATCTTACATGAGTATAGCTATTCCAGCTTGCTTAGGCTTGCTGTTTGGGTGATTCACCTTTCTCCATCCTTTTACTTTCAGCCTTTTTGTGTCTTTGAATCTGAACTGTGTCTCCTATAGATAGTATATAGTTGGGTCTTTTAAAGAATCCAGACTGATCATCTCTGCCTTTTAATTAGATTATTCAATCCATTCATATTTGATGTGACCTTCTTTTGCATTACATGAATATTTTTTAGTATAACATTTTAGTTCCTTTTAATGATTTTTTCACTGTATTTTTAGTCACTTTCTTAATGGTTGCTCAAGAGTTTTACAGTATGCATCATAGCTTATCAGAATCTATTTCAGATTAGTAGTAACTAAGCTCCAGTGTTCTCCCCCCCTTTTTCGTCTATATCGCTGTATTACTGCATATTATATAAAGTGGGAGTACAATGCATACAGCAGGTAATCCTTTGTAGACTAGGGAAAGTCTGTACATATGCTTCTGAATTTTCACTTAATTTCATACACATAATAGCATAAACATTTTCCCTTTCCATTTGCTTCACAAACAAGCTTGGATCACTCACAGAGGCCACTTTCTCCCTTATTTCACCTCTCATCTCTTACCTGATTCAAGGTCTGTTGCCTCTTTGCGTTTTGCTTCTTATCCTTGAATGGACCTCACACCCTGGGATTTTCTTCATCTCTGAGCTCTGCGGAAACCTGGCAGCTCCATCCTCGGGTTTGGAACCAGAGCTGTCAGTGGCAGTAGCCCTTGTCCTTTTGTGTGAAGAGCTGAGGTCTCATGGCAGAGCCTTTTCTTTTTTGGTTTTTCAGGGCAGCCAATGAAGTGCAACCTTCACATGAATGGGAACGTTATCACCTCAGACCAGCCCATCCTGCTGTAAGTGCCAAGGGCAGCAGGCCTCGGTCTGTGGTCTATAAAATGAGGAATGGGAGTTAGTGGTGTGGTGACACATGTACAGACACTGCCTAAAAAATGATTTCACTTGAGCTTTCAGCCACCCTGGGAGATAGGCTAGACCAGCCCTTCTTTTCAGAAGAGAAAACTCACTCTCTGAGAAGTTAAGAAACCTCTTTGAGGTCACCCAGCTGAAGGAAAGCAGAACCCCAGGGATCAAACCCAGGTCTGTCTGACTTTAGGGTGACCAGCTGTCCCAGTTTTGCTGAGGTATCCTCTTAGCACTGAAAGTCCCACAGCCTGGAAAACCCTTTAATCTGGCCAGACCGTTATGGTTGGTCACCCTGTGTAGAATGCCAGAATATGTATTTCTAACAGATTCCCAGGTGACATAATTAGCCACTGTCTTTGATGAGCCTACACATTCATTCTCATGACATAGCTCTCTGTGAGAAATGCCATATTCTGTAACTTGCCCATGTTGAGGAAGTAGGCACCATGGAGGGAGGACTTTGGGGGTGATTTGCAGAAGGTCACAGGGACTCCAAGGCTTGTAAGCCCAGACCCATTGACCCATTTCTCACTGCCAGCACAGCTTGTCCCCTCATCCGGTCCCATGTTGAGAGGCCTGTGGCTGTTCCAGGACGCCACCAGAAATGGGGCCTCCTCGAGATCTTGGGTGCAGTGAGTATTCAGCTGGAGCTCAGCCCCGAACCCTCTGGGGTGTAAATGGCAGGCAGGCAGGACAGCAGTGGCCTGACATTCTCACTTATCCTAACCACTCTTGTCTCTGCAGGAGCTTTTCTGTGTGTGCGGAGCCCTCAAGCGGGCTCGGCTGATCCATCCTGGGGTAGCAGAGGTGGTCTTTGTGAAGAAGGATGATGCCATCACTGCATATAAAAAGTATAACAACCGGTGTCTGGATGGTAAGTCAGGGAGAAAGCAGCCACCTCTCATTCCCAGTGCTCACGATCAGGCAGTGGGCCTTTGGAGCAAGCCTCCCTCTGTGGTGGGTGGGACACCCATCCTTCTGGAGCCTTCAGTGCACCAAGAGCAGGCAGGGTTGTGCAGTGTCCTGGTAGTGCTAAGGTGCCTGCTGACAGGGCCTTGGGTTCTCACCCAGCCCTAGCGCTTAAGTCTAGCAGCAGAGAAACACCATTTCTGCATGGATGGCTCTCTCAGCACGTCTTGCCATGGAAGCCAAGAGCCATAGCCTACCCTACAGACGTTGGTCCGCTTGCCACAAAGATCCCTCAGAGGCCTGAAGCCTTGTCTAAATATTGGCACCTAGGTGCGCTCTGCTCCTAGTGAGTGAACTGCTGATGTTACTGAATTCAGATTCCCATTATCCATCTCAGGATAGCCTATGGAGAGAAAGTGTGTCTACCATGCCCTTTCTGTGCACCGATGTGTTCTTTCACACTTGTGGGTCATAGCCCTCTGCTGCCAGCGGTGATACGGAGACTAACTGAACAGTCAGTGGGGTTTTGATTGGCGTTTTCCTGATGCCTCATGCTGGAGTTCTTTTCATGTGCTTGTTATGAGCCTTTTGTGTGTCTTGGAGAAGTGACTATTCAGACTGTCCACTGTTTAATTGAGTTTAAGAGAATTCTTTATACATTCTTATTATGACTGTTACCAGATACCTGATTTGCCAGTATTTTGTCCATTCTGTAGGTTGTCTTTTTACTCCTCTTTAAATCTGTGCATTTACAGTTATGTATTTCCTTCCAACCACTGCTTAGCTGCATCCCCAAAGTTCTGGTATGTTGAATCTATTTTCATTCATCTCAAAGGATTTTCTGATTTCCCTTGTGATTTCCTCTTTGCCCTATTGGCTACTTATTTTTTGTTTAATTTCCATATATTTGTGAATTTATCAAATTTCTTGCCATCCCATGAGTCTTTAAGGAGAATATGCATTTTTTTTTTTTTTTTTTT